ATGATTTTCGAATTGATGATAACTTATCAACTTGGAAATAGTAATCTTCGTACAGATGCCTGCACTGTCTTGCAAGTATTGTCATCGATTTGATATTTTGATTAACGAAGGAAACGAAAATTGTACTTGAAATAACGTTGCTATAGTGCACCGTTATAAAGATTGCTTTTTTCAACTTGTAACCATGCTTTGGGAGTTTTATACCGGTGCAATGTTATAAAAATTCTTGCTTTGCCAAATACTAGAAGAAAAATGGGGGGGGGCTTTCGCAGTGGGAAAATACTTGAAAAAAAAAATGAGGAATTTTGCAAGGCAGATGCCTTCAAATATGTCTCCACATATGAATGCAAGCATCTTTATGTAAATAAATTTTTAATTTGAAACTAATAGTCTCCATGTTGGTACTGGCATCATTATGCAAATATGGTTTAAGTTTATTACTCTGGTTAATGAAAGAAATAAAAATTTTACCTGAAAATTCGGCATCGTGGAGCTTGTATAAAAATTGCATTTTCTCAAGCTAAAAGCTAATTAATTCTTCACAGTTTTAGTTTTAAACCTAACATATGCTAGATTTTTCGCCTTGGCAAAGACTTCTTTCCAGCTTTACGTATAAAAAATTTTGCTGCATTCCCAAAGCGACTTATCTCTCAGTTTAGTAGCATTCAGTGTCTCAATATCAGTTTCACAACCTTACTTTAACGGGTATTTTTAGGTAACACTTGAAAGTTCAAGTTTTCATTCACACACAAACTGACCACATCCTCAAAAGTTCACTCCGTCAACATATTGCAAAACTTTTCGCAGGAGACTCTACGTCGGTTCATAGCAAGTGTACTTGGACAAGTGGCAGTAATGCATTCTTAGCTCTAAGATGGCGTACTGGAAAACTTCGACGTGTTTTGCAAATCCAAAATACTGAATCTAACTGTTTCAGTTATATTTACTGCTGTGTACATGCGTACAACAAATGTATTATCCTCTTTTGAACATGGCTAATGTTAAATTTTGCACCCTGTACGTAAAATAATGTATTGCGTTGTGACTTATCTCACTTGTCTAACAGTAACATCAGAACAAGTTCACGAAATTCATCGTGGCAAGGAGAGCAAGATTGCGCCTGTTGTTGGCAACAGCCTTGAGCACCATGCAAGTGACAGCACGACTCTGCTCAGTTCCGTCTCCAGTTATGATGGAGAGCAGTCCGGGGAGGTGGATGGACTCGAGGGCCTCCCACACCTCTTTCCCTACCAGCAACTTCTCGAGAGAAATATTTAGAGTGCTTCATATCGCCGCATATTTAGAGTGCTTCCCATGCCGCAAAGGCACTAAACATTTACAAACATCCATGCTTTCTGCGGGATTCGAACTCGTGCCTTTCGGTACCGCAGTAGGGTCCCCTAACCATTTACTTAACCCTAACCCTAACCATTGACCATTTTGTGTTCTGCCCACACACAGCACTTAACAGCCTCAAGCAACCAGGAGCCAGATTCTGGCCAAATGGGTTCCAGAATCTACAAAGTAACAGAGTTGCCCAGCGGAAACTGAAAACAATAATTGACTATTGTACTAGCAATTACTCTTCTGACGCTGGAAGATAGTAGACATAAAGTCTATATAAGCTAGTTCAATATGTCAGCAACAGAGTATGTGATATGTATGTTCAATATGTAATTTTGTATTTATGCTGTTCCAGGTTTTCATACACAAAGTTCGTACTATATCTGTACATGTTTATATCTTTTATTTATGGTATCTAATTTATACTAAGGATCACGCGTACCTCAATGGCATGCTTCATGTAAACTTTAACTATCATGATAACGTATATTTTTGTGTAGATGTATATATGAATATGAATGAGAGTATGTATACTTTTTTTTTGTTTCGGAATATATATGCATGTAAGTGTGTATATATCTGTATCTGAGTTGGTATTTATATGTATATACATGCATATATTTTGATTGTACTCTTCTTCAAGTACCTTGTATGCGCATGTATATTTCTATTTTGCATTTTTAAATGTCGTCTGCTCAGCCAGGGCTGCGGCCTGGTAACTAGTGGCTGACTCCCGCCGAGTTGGTAACCAATTCTGCATGGATATATCTATATCTGGGTCGGAAGCCAACTCAGCGGTTTACCTCCCCTAACCATTATATCGCCTAGTCAGCTTAAAATAATGTTCTAAACAGAATAAATAAAAATTTCTTCTAGCGTCGTATCATGAAAATAGTTAAAAATAACTGCGATCTGAAACCTTCAGATTACATCGTATTACCTTAAAAAGTTTACTGTAAAAAAAAAAAAAAAAAAAAAAAAAAAAAAAAAAATAGATGTTTTCCAAATTTAAAAAATATTAAATCAGGATTAAAACATGAAAATTTTGAAAACAAATGATTCTGTATCAGTTACGTAACATACGACGACGGCTACGTTATTTATAAATGACAAAAAAACTCAAAGAGTCATAAACGGTGTTAAATGGATTTATAACAAGTTAAAAATCTTTTATATCAAATTTTGAAAGCTCACTTTCTTATATTCAGTAACACATTGATTCAGTTTGAAAGATTAGTTAAGGATCTTACGCTTTGTCGAATGGCAATATTTTATGAATCTATTGTTGTATGGAAAACAAAATGGGAAGTATTATGCTTCGTGCAATGGCAATACTTGTCGAAGGCGACTTTCAGACTATTTTCAATCTTCTCCTCCTCATTTCCTGAAACATGGTTATACCTGTGGATTTTATTCTGCACAATAGGAATTGACATGTTAGCCGAAACAGTACGATTCTCTGTGAGTTTCATATCGCTCATCCGTCATAAAATTGCTGACATCTTTCTACAGGTCAACCTTCTGTGGTGTAAGTCAGAAATGTTCATAAGGTTTTCGCGGCATAAAGGTTGCTTTTCTCCAAGCTCAGAAGCAATATTCATAAAAGTGCAGGCAGCTTTTGTTGAAATACCTTTATGCAAGTTTTCAGTTTTCCGCTCCGATTATTGAGGTAAACAAAAATCCTACTAGCATAGAAGTGGCCTAGAATAAAGATGCCCTGACTCTTACAAAGGTTGCTTTATTTAAGTTCAAATTGATCTTCATGAAGTTGCTGGTACCCCTTGGCACAGTTATACATTGGGAACCAGGCAAAGCGTTTGATCTGAGCACACTTATATAGGTTTCTGCATTGGAGGACACTGTTACGAAGGCTTTTCCTCTCTGGAATGTGTATGGGAGTTGGGGGAGGGAGGTTCATAACTCTTCAAAAATGACTTCGGTGTTCTAGATAACTGCATCAATATGGAGGCAGAATTATAAGTTCACACATTTTGTAAACGCGAAGGGCTCAAATCGTTCATCATATTCAAAGAAAGGCGGCGTAAATTTATAAAACAATATTAAACATACCCTGTACCTTAAGATAAAGAGCTGAAGGTGAGATGGTCCCCTACTTCATGAATCTGTCACTGCCTTCATGACAGACGCCCCGCGATTAATGCCTTTGACGGGCTAAAATTCCAGATGGTTTCAAATTTAAAACCCCCGCAAAGCTGTCATTTTCGAAATATAAATTGCTATTCTACCAGAATGATGAAGATACATCTTCCAATTAATCCGTTATTATGGGCAAGAAGTTACGTGAAAGTTATTTGAGGAAAAGCAAGCGAAATCCTCTCGATGCCTATTGTCTCCAAAGTAAATGGCTAAGTCGGGCCATTTACTTGGATGATCCATCAGGATAAACTTCAGTTCGCCATACGATGGGCCTCGACAGCCCATACACTTAACGACTTCACGTTATGATAGCCATTATGGAACTAAATGCTTACTTCTTTGCAAACGTGCATTATTCTTCGATGGCACTACCTAGATGTGAAGGAAGGAGATCAAGGATCCGTTAAAAGATGCTTTGAAATCCAATCAAGAAAAATCTAAGAACTCGTTGTGAGGGATACATTTAATGGTTACCTAAATGCTTTTCATCCATGTATAAGGCATACCACGTAATATATGAGCAATAATATGGCAAATCATGCCTCGTCGAGACTGAATCTCTGAATCCCTTTTTTATTGACTTCCACGTTTCTTCAGTTATGGTACAGGAAAGCTATTAGTATCTCGATAACCCCACAGTTAAAAATGTGCTGATTTGTGTCTCAGTCCTTGTTGCAAAAACTATGGGGTCTTTAGCGGCTTCTTCCCAAACTTTTGGAGCGTTACATTAGATTACTGTATCATTCATCATCCGTATGCTTTGAAAAACGTTCCTCACTGCGTTAAAGGTTGCATTGCTCCAAGTGCTGACTGTCAACCCATACTTATCCATGACTATATGATTTGATGTTGCCAACGCCTTCAGTGGCAAATATTAATGCCTGTAGTTTGACTGGTTGATTGCCGATTGCCTGTAGTTTGACTAGCATTTACTAACAACTCAAATGTCATCGAGGACCAATTGCTTTGACGGTCACCGGTGTACTTAATTACTGTTTAATAGTTCATTTCAATTTTCAGCTTTGCATCCAGTATGATCCATGTGTTTGCTTACAGTGGTTGTCAACTCGATGGTGACCTGACACCAGCTGTGTTAACAGGCACTGTTAATTTTCGGTTTAATTTTTACTTAGAAAATCAAATTTACTGTGTTGCCACAGATTCATGACGTAGGGACTGATCACAACTTCACGACTGACCTATAAAGGGTAAGTCTTAATTTAATATTAAAATCTATCTAACTTTTTAAAGTTTTGATCGAAGCTGGCTCAGAGGTAACTACACTGGCTCCCGGCTATACGAGGAAAATCGGAACAAATGCTTGTTCGTTGGGTCGAATTATTACTAGCACTCTTATCCACTATTGCGTAAATGAAAGTGTGAATTTGCTAATCAAAACAACGTATTGTGTAATTTGCAATTTGTTTCCAAAAATATTATATAGGCATTAATAAATGACTTGGAAAGTAATGATGTATGTTTCTCTTTTCTACCTTTAGGGGTTGCCACTTGCGCTAACGACACTATCTTGGAAGAGATCTCTCCGCAAATTAGGGTGAGTGACTGTATTTTCATATAAACGAGTCTTAAGGGGAAAAAAACTTCCGTTTCAATCAAAAAAAGGTACCTTTATCAATCATTAACTATTTGTTTACGTGTCTGTACAACTGCATACCCATTGACTGGGTCCCAACTGAACAGCCACCATATCAAGCACAAGGTGGGCAAACCCTTCAAACAGCTACCTTGGAGATGGTACGAACACTCTCTCCGAGGACCCGGGTCTCGTACCTCCCGGAGCAACGGACTGTACGTTAACTCTGCTCTCCACCGCTGAATTGCCCAACCGAGGACCAGAGACCACGGCAGAGCGGGGATATTTGCCTGAAGTTCTGAATGGCCGTTAGAGATCCTACCCGCCGTACTACACGGGCTGTCCTTCCCTCCAGGTTTTATACAGAATACGGAGGGCAACGAATCTGGACGCTCAATGTTCTTGGCGCTATTGCGCCACCTAGTTGGGAGACATAATCACCAGACCTGTGAAAAATTGGGTTAATACCCTTTCCCCACAGATTCGTGTTTCGGGAATCACCAGATTCGTGTTATTGTGCTCCCAGAGCTGCTAGTGCCCTATTATAATACGAAGCCAATTGTATAAACCCGAGAGGGGACTTTTATCAATAAAAGGAACAAACTTGTTCTGTGAAAAATTCGGATTATTTAGTGGACTCTCGGTTTTACGAATTTGGACAGAGCGCTAAAAATTCTCGCACAATCGAAATTGGCAAATGAGAATGGCACTGAACTATTTCAAGTTTCATTAACTTTTATTTGTTATAAATATCAAATTTAATCTCAACGACCGAGATCTCATAGAGCTAATTCCACTCAAGTTTCATTAACTTTTATTTGTTATAAATATCAAATTTAATCTCAACGACCGAGATCTCATAGAGCTAATTCCACTCATTTTAGTAGTTTCAGTCCTTGTCAGTGACGTTTCAGACTTGACAGTGACTGAAACTGCAAGATTAAGATCCCAGCATAAATTGACACATAGCGTTATTATTTAATACTGTTAGCAAATGAATCTACCAAGCATAGAACCGACATTAAAGAAGATACATTATGGAAGTTTTTGGTTCAAATGTGTACATGTGTGAATAACATTGTTGTGCAAGTACCGATACTCCTTACATTATAGGATTATTCGTTATTGCTATCATCTTAAGCATCTAAGCAAGCTTAGAATATTTGTTTAAGACATTACTTTTTTTGTATTAAATCTTTTCTGATTTCAAAAAACCGCACGAGAAAGGCAAATTAAATGAGTTTAAATAATAACTGAAAGGAGTGTTAGCAAATTTCAGCAAGAGCACTGTAAATATCATATTCTACCAGAGCTGAATTTTCGCTTATAATTGCGTTAGAAAAGGCGTTAGCATAACAAGCTTAGCATTAATTGGAGATTTCTTTATTAACTAATTGAATTACTGTTGCATCAAATGGCGGATGCCAAATTTTTTATGAATGTTTTCATTTTTTGCAACTTTAACCCCCATCCGCAGTACAGATGAGTTTGCATCGGGTTGGCAAGAAAGTTATTTCTTTTTAATTTAGTGTAAAGTAAAACCCAGTTTTTTATATAAAAATTAGCTTTAATCAGTCGGACGTCTTCCACTATGTTCGATGATCTTTTGCCATCATTGTGATAACTTTATGAATCCGCGCTCGTAAAACTTGTAGTCTTTACCAGCAAGTGTGATCAAGCATATGCGATTGAGGGCATCGTTATTGCTCAAGCTTTTACCATTTAAGATATTTTGTAAACTTCGAAATAAACTATAATCCGATGGTGCATGGTCGGGGTTATATGGATGATGCGACATCTCTTCCGAACCAAGCTTTGATAATTTCGTACGTGTTGCTAAAAATGTGTGAGGCCTCGCACTATGGTGATGGAACACGATTCTTTTGTCATTTGTCTAATTCTGGCCTTTTCTCCTTGATTACGTACTCTAGTTTAACGAAGTGCCGCCCAACCTGTATAGTGGTTAGCGTCACTGACTGACATGCGGAAGGGCCCGGGTTCAAATCCCGGAGAAGGCAATCTGGAAATACACAACACTAATCTACCCACCAAATTGACAGCATGATGTTTTTCTGATGCAATTTAGTTTTTCGATATGATTTGCACTGTTTCACCACGTTCATTAATTTCATCACGTTTTTGTTCATTAATGTTATTGTGGACGATCCATTTTTCATCTACAGTGATAATTCGTTTCCAAAATGTGTCGTATTGATTTCTTGTGTTTAGTGAATATGTTTCAATTCATGCGGAACCCAAATATCGAGCTTTTTAGCGAGTCCTAGGCCATCTTATGTGATTTTCAGTTGCTGTGTGTCAGACAGCAACTGAAACAGATCAGAATAATTCGAGCTTGACTTTTCACACTTAAATCAATGATAATTTTTTCATGATTTCCTAGTGTCTTTATTTAAAATTTTGTTGCTTTGGATGTGTCGAAAGAATTTTCTCACAAGTCATTTATAAATTTCCAAAATGTAGAATATGTAATGAATATTCTTATGAAGTTTTATTACTTTAGAATCATAATCTGGCAATCGTAAAACATTCGTTGAAGTGAAATTTATTTTCATTTTTAATTAATGTAAATAATATTACGAGTTGGCTGCATGCCAGTATGACTATGTCTGCCAGTGTTTTCTAGAAAATTTATATTATAAGAATCTAGGAAAAAGATCCCCATTTTGAAAAAACAAATATTGCCGATATTTATTTTATTCACATAAAAATGCAGACATTTCTCTTTTCAGTTTACGTACTGCCCAGAATGTGACTGTCAATTTTAATATCACGTATCTCGGTCAATTTTTGTCCAGTAGGAGGAAAACCTTTTGTGTTTAACTTTTCATAACGAATACAAAATATTCCTAAATAAGGGCCGGAGGGATACAAAAACGGGAGTTTTTTTCATTTACACACATATACACGATTCGAGAACATTTGGGCTAACGATAACGACCCTTTGGGCTAAAAATATTTAAAAACAGCATATCCTTAGAATTTCCGATAGAAAGTTTCTCGCGCTGAAGGTAAAAATGTTTTAATCCTACACTCTTGCAAATGCTCGCTTTGGAATCGCTGAGTTTTTAAATAAAAAGTTGGTTAAAGTTTTGCAAAATATGAAATGGATAATAAAACAAATTCGAAATTCAAAATCCGGGCTTCGGGGACCCTTATTCGAGTGGAGGATTACTTTATTCAGAACTGGATGGCTCTAGGTGCCGTTGTTTTTTCACAATGCGAGAAACATAAATACATTCACGTAGATAGATTGTTATCTAATTTCTTTAAATACAATACAGGGCGATATTATTTGGTGGCAACAATTTAAAAAGTTATTTAACGCTTTTAGTCATTGGACGAGATGAATAGCCCTTCTGGGCTAATCGCCACTTTAACCTCTTCGTCGTCCGTAACGCGTCTAGCGCGTTCAAGTGAAATTTTCGTAGGGCGGCCGTAACGTGCCTCAAGCGTTCTTCTATTTTAAAACTTTTAAAGGTTTAAAACGCTTTCTAAATTTTTACTTGATTGAGTTTTTATTTTTGTTTATTTTAATATCTCCTAGAGGGTAGCACTAATCAGGCATTTTATTTCTAATTGAATTTGCCCCGAGTTTTATGAATATTCGCGCCATTTTACATAAGATACAAGACAGTGAGAGATGGCTTCAACGTCTACTCAGCAGAAAAAGAGAAAAAATGAGGTTGTGAGTTGGAAAGACAAGAAGGATATACGTTTGATGAGTACAGTCCATAATAACTCGATGATTGATGTTGGAACACGGAAAAGAACTGTAAAAAAACCAATAATTGTAAAAGATTACAACAACAAAATGGGAGGAGTGGACCGCCTGGATTAGATGTTATCAAATTATCCTGCTAGCAGAGATATTATTATTTTTTCATTATGCTTTATTTCCTTATAATTTTACTTAATATTCATTGACATTCATCCACTACGAAAGTCGTGTATGGAAAGTTATGATGTACAGAGAAAACAACATTACACGCTACGAAAAACAGACAGCCGCTGGGGGGAAAGTTTCGCGAACAGGAGACGACGGCGAAAGGGTTAAGCTAAAAATAAAATTAAGAAACTTTTTTTTTTCTTCCGTAAGTTCACCTGGTAGACTGGTGTAATTACAGCATTTTCTTCTTTTCCTTTGCGTGTTTTCTGCTGAGATATTAATTTTAAACTAACGATTTGCGTTAGTTAATTTTTACAACGTTCCAGAGAAAAAAAAAATGGAAAAAAATTAGTCTTCCTTGACAGGTCCTAGTTCTTCCGCCAGCCAGTTAGTTCGTCCCAGGTTAATCGGCAATTAACTGTACTTTCCTAATGCCAGTATCTGTACTGGGGACAGTTCACTAGCAGCCGGAGCCAGCAATTGGAAAATTTCCAACTATCATTGGATAACATAGATTTCTAATTATCCAATGATAGTACAAATCTAAAGTACAAAGTAGAAATCTCTGCAACTTCGCTCTCCTGGGAGGGAAAGAGTGACCTTCCGAGCCTCCAAAGAATCAGATGGTGAATATGTTTCAGCCATAATCGAAAAATTGCCATTTAAGATCTTCCAGAAATTTTACCCAATGTAGGCCAGGGAAGACTGTCTGGCCCTGAGCACACAGAATTTACATCTTTAAACACCAGAGTAACTGAATCATTGCGATTTATAGTTCAATGAATATGCATATGTTCAGAATTCCGCATAATATTTCTGCGCCAGAAATTCGGCGATAAGATGGGTACCTGTCACAGTGTTTACTCTCCATTTAAATTTCATTCTATCTCCTAAACCATCCAATATAATTCAATGCTGCGTTTAATTATTCCTCATGTATATGTAATTCATTTCTAACGTGATCGCCTGCTTCTAACGGAGTGTTTAAAATCATCAGTCGAATGCCTTCTGTAATGTTTCTTTGCCTCAGTGAAGATGCTATCTGCAGAATTCA